GTGAGCCCAAAAGGCATCACCACAAACTCATAATGTCCATAACGAGTCCTGAAAGCAGTCTTTTGGATATCCTCCTCGCGAACCCTCATCTGATGATATCCCGACCTCAAGTCAATCTTGGAAAACCAAGATGCCCCCTGCAACTGATCGAACAGATCGTCGATCCTAGGTAACGGATATCGGTTCTTAACCGTCAACTTGTTCAACTCCCGATAATCGATACACATCCGGTGTGAACCATCCTTTTCTTGACGAACAAAATCGGCGCTCCCCAAGGCGAGCTACTCGGTCGAATGAATCCCTTTCCCAACAGCTCCTGAAGCTGCGAGGATAATTCCTGCATTTCCGGCGGAGCGAGACGATAAGGCGCCTTGGCGATGGGCGCCGCTCCCGGAACCAAATCGATACGAAACTCCACTTGCCTCTCCGGAGGCACACCTGGTAACTCTCGGGGAACACATCCGAAAACTCGCATACAACCGGAACGTCATCAATCGAATTGGGCCTCTCCGCGGTCACACGAGTATCCATCACATAGGCTATGAATCCATCACAGCCCTGCTGCAAACTCTGCCTTGCCCTGGCAGCCGAACAAAACGCCGACCCACACCGGGTCCCCTCGCCATAAACCGTGAGCACTCCCCCACTAGGGTCTCGAATCATCACCAGCTGTCTCTCGCAGTCAATGACTGCTCCAAACTTGCTCAACCAATCCATGCCCACGATAACGCAAACATCCCCCATAGCTATAGGGACCAAGTCTATAGGAAACTCGACCCCAAAAATCTCGAGCACGCATCCTCGAATCACCTCGGTGGCGTATACCGCTCTCTCATTTGCTATAGCAACTCGCAGGGGACGACTCATCGCCTCCCGATCGATATCGATGTGCTGGCTAAAAGCCAACGAAACAAAGGACCGACTCGCACCCGAGTCGAATAATACCAAAGCAGGCACATGATTCACAAGAAAAGTACCTACGCATATAATAATATAAGCATAATATCTCAGTATAAATGTAAATACATGAAAGAATACATACCGGCCACGACATCAGGCGCCGCGCGGACCTCCTCCGCAGTCAACTGGAAAGCTCTCCCACGAGCCTTCGGAGCCTCGGTCTTCACTGGCCGAACCTCAGGAACCCTGGCAGCAGGCGAAGATCCCTGGCGAAGCTGGGGGCACTCGGCCTTCCGATGGCCAGTCTGGTTGCAATGGAAGCAAACCATGAATCCCTTGGGGCAATCCCTAGCAATGTGCCCCTCCTTGCCACACTTGTAGCAAGCACCCGATCGACATGCCCCCTCGTGACCCTTGCCGCACTTCCCACAAGTGCGGCTCTTCTGACCTCCGGATCTCAAATCAGCGGACTTGGTCCGCTTGGCTGCCGGCTGAGACTGAGCCGGCCGCCGATCCACCCGTTGAGACTCGGCCTCCTCCCTGGCCTGGGTCTCCAACTCGATCTCACGCTTCCTGGCATTCGCCTGAAGCTCAGCAAAAGTCTGATATGACGAGTTCGATACGAACTCCCGGATATCTCTCCTCAGCACTCCCAAATACCGGCTCATCCGAGCCTGCTCCGTGGACACCTGCTCGGGGCAGAACATCGCCCTCTCATGAAACTTCCGCGTGATCACCGTAACCGAATCATTACCCTGCTTGAGGGTCAAGAACTCCTGAACCAACCGTTCCCTCTCCACCGGGGGAACATACTCGTCTCTGAACATATCAGTAAACCTCTCCCAAGTCACAGCTGAGACCTCTGCCAGAGTGAAGTTCGCCGTCACAAACTTCCACCAATCCTTTGCTCCCAGGCGGAGCTGGTTCAGGGCGAACCGAACCCTCAGATGCTCCGGACATGAACAAGTATAGAAGCATCCCTCGATATCAGCAATCCATCTCATCGCAGCAATCGGATCCTGCGTCCCGTCAAACTCTGGTGGCTTCGTGTTGCTGAACTCCCGGAACAGCAACGAGTCACCCCCTGTGGTCTGGCAGCGGCCACAGCTGCGGTAGCTGCAGCGGCGGCAGCCTCAGTCAACGCGGCGTACCGCTCATCAAATGTCTCCATCAGCGTGGTCTTAATAGACCCAAACATCTCCGGAATCTCGGCCCGGATCGCTGCAGCTACCTCCTCATGAATCATCTGACGAAGCTCCTCGTCAGTCACTCCACTCGTACCAGGTCTGTGTCGTGGTCCAACCATGATGTCTCTGAAATACAACATAAAAATATCAGAGACTCTATCGGGCATAATCGCACTCGATAACGCAGTCCTACTCAGTCTCCGATACTCAGGGATTCTTACTTGGGCTGCCCACTGACCCGGTGTCCTTGGTAGTACGGGCCCAATACTACCAATTACACCGCGTCGGTATTCACCCCAAGTCCTCCTCCCCAAACCCCGAATCCTGAGTACTCTATTCTTGTCATACACTAGTTACCCACTCGCTCTCGAGCACCTCATAGAAGCAGGTTTCCCTAGACTAAGGCATCACAAAATCAGGCCACTCTAGTCCTAATATGTATACCTAGTCTACTAGCATGCGTATCATATCATATCATATCTCATAACACATATTGTAAGAGTATTTTGGTTATTTTTACCGTTCGGGCGTTGGCTGACCGTACACACTCTTTCTTCTTTGGTTGTCTCAAAATCACTTATCAATTTTTTTTTTGATTTATTAGTTAAAATTTTCTCAAATCCCCGGTTTGAGTTCAGTTACGCCCGAAGGTGTACCCAAATCCCTCAAACCAAGGCTCTGATACCAACTTGTAACGTCATAAAATTTCAACCAAAAATTTTCATTTTTACAATCATCAAAACATGAGTAATAAGTTTAGGTTCCAATGTAACAATTTAGTCACAACCGATTACATAACAAAAGATAACAAAATGGTTTCCCCGAGTGTGTGTACGGTCACGCTGGCGCCTTCCCACGGTCCTCGCTAGTACCTGAAACACATAACACAACAACTGTAAGCATAAAGCTTAGTGAGTTCCCCAAAATACAACCTACGCACGTACGCCTTTCCAGGCCTTGACCTTCCGGTCCATGTGTCTCAGGGGACTTCCGTCCCGACTGGGTAAACCTTCCGGTCCTACCCACGTCAACCTTACAGTCCATATGACCACGCCTTCCGGCCCATATCATGTTGCCTTCCGGCCCAAATCAAACATATCATACATGGCACATATAACGAATAACTTAACACACATAAGGCATATATCTCATATCATATTCGACCTTCCGGTCACACAGTCAAAACCCTTCCGGGTACAGTATAGTGAGAAGACTCACCTCGTATGCCTCGCTAAGTCGCTAATCGTGAATCCTGGAATCACTCGCGCTCGAACCCTCGAGCTGCAATCCTCCTATGATATTATAAATCTATAATTATTACTTGTACCACTAAGGTTGACCATCCATATCAAGTCAACACAGGTTGACTTGGTCAACAGTCTTTAGTCAATTTGGACCGGACTCGGCGAGTGCACACTAGTGACTCGGCGAGTCTACGCGTTTTAACCAACCCTCAAAGTTTTTCCCCTTTGACTCGTCGAGTACTCCCCCGACTCGACGAGTTCCTCCTGGGCCTGAATCACAGGGCCACCGCGACTCAACTCGCCGAGTCGAAGGTCAACTCGGCGAGTCCCAACCTGACTCGGTCCACCTGTCAAAACCTTTCCAACTCTCTGCGACTCACTGAGTCGCCCATAACTCGGTCGGACTACACACAGGGTGGTCTCAAGGACAATCTTCAAGCGACTCGTCGAGTCTGTTCTTCAGACTCGGCGAGTCCATGCCATGCACCAGCTAAAACTGGCTTTTGCGGTCAGATCCGTTCCATACATACATAGATCTGGCCTTCCCAAGCTTATTTGTCACGTAAAGTCTCAGTCTTGGTTGCCATGCAATGCATACAAGGCTTATTTTGAAGAAACAACCTCTAATATGGCAAGCTTAGCTTCTAACTCAAAAGAATGGACATAAAGCTTGTCATATGGGGTCTCCTGGACCTGCTAAGGTCCAGATCTAGGTTCCATATCTCCATGGGACCTCTCATACTTCCGATTCAAGCCAAGAAATGCAAGAAGAAACCCTAGATTTGGCACATCAACACAAAACACGAAGTTTGGCTCTGAAAATTACCTCAAGAAGACTCCCTTGATGAAATAGCAACAGATCTAAGCTCCCCAACTCTTCAAGCTTGATCCTCTCCCTCCTTTCCTTGCAATATCACACAAAATGATGAACAAATGGCCTCCAAACACACTCACAAGGGCTCACAAACGTATGGGGGCTCTTAGGGTTCAAGGTGGCCGCAAATGAGGGACATAAGGTCCTTTAAATAGGGCTTAGGACCGGGAAATTAGGGTTTCATTAAACAGCGCGGACTCGCCGAGTCCATCCCTTGGACTCGTCGAGTCCGAACGCGAACCCTCGCCCAAAACCGCATCCTGACTCGGCGAGTTCGACCCCCAACTCGCCGAGTCCCCTCACAGAATATCATAAATATGAGAATGAAGGTACCTGGGGATCCGGGCTGTTACATAAATCCTAAACTATCTTACCATCAAATTTGTCATAACTAATACCTTATTCACAGTCGATGCTCGTGGTTTTTCCCCAAAAAGGTTTCCACCCAACTCTATGTTCTTGGCGTTGGTGTTTTTATTGCTTATGGTTTCATCACTTTTATAGCAACCAACTATCCACACAAACTTTTAGCTTTGTTGAAGCTACAAAACTCAATTTCAAAAATAATAATACGAAAATGAGTATCGAGTGGAAATCTTTCTTTTGCAATCCTTGAGGCATGTTGGCATTAGTGGAAGGTGAGTCGCCGGTGGGAGTCCACGACATGAAGGTGTCGTTGATTAGGGTCAAAAGGTCATTTTTTTTAACTCCATTTTATTAAAAATTCAAAAGTAAAATAGTTATTTTATATAATTTTGATGGGCTTTCGCCTTTCACTTAAATCATTTCAAATGACCGATTTTCAGAATGAGTAGCATATGTTTGCATTTTCTTTATACAAATTGAATAAATTAATTTTAATTTTTAAATTCACGTGGTAATTACATGATGAACATACAATTTATACAATGTGAAAGTATTGAAGAGTGGTGATTACTGATTGCATATATAATTTACCGAGCGTCCACTCGGTGTCCAGCCCAGATCGCTAGGAATCTGACAGATAGAAGAAGAGAGGGCGCGGTTGAGCGGTGCTCTCTCCCAGCGAAGATCAGGTAACGAAATTCTGTCCTCCGATTCTTTCTTCATCATCAGTCGATGCTTTCGATGCCTTTAAACGCATGTCATATTTTTTTCTAGCATTTTAGGGTTTTAGAATCGGACGACTTTCTTGGCTTTCTTGTTTGTATTAACTACGAGTTTGAAAGTTTACTTCCTGCGATTTCCTTCTCTTAGTTCGTCCGTCAATTTAATCATGCAAAAGTTTTGTTTGCGTATCAAGATTAACGACTGGAATTTTGATGTTTTTGTAACGTGTAATTTGAGTTCAGACTGTTTTATCGGCTGGTTGATATAGAAATTTAATTGATTGAGTCATAGAGTGTGTGCCCTCTTCAAGTTTTCCTGCTGATGAAAAAACTCTGCAATAATCGGCAGTTATAAATTGTATAACATTTTCTTGATTCGTAACAGGGGTAGAGGAATGCTCGACTGTCAACAATACAGTGTTCTTTTTTTCATTTGCATATAGAAGATAGTCGGTGGTATTGTGTATGCAAATTGAACACGAATTAGTCTCCTTTGGCCAATGTAACATAAATATGCAGTCTTTTGAAGAGCATTAGATTATTCTGCATCTGGAATTTATTGTGTGGTTGGTTGCTGATGAACTCGACAGAGAATACTTAAGAGTATGGATGTGCATGTCAATTGATATGTTGGATGAATTGTGCAGATATTTGCCAATTGGTTAGCTGGATGAATTGTACATATATATTTTCCAATTGATTAGTTGCATAAATATGCTCAATTTTGATCTTCATGTACTTTTGAATCATTACTGCCTCTTTATGTCAGATTTAGGCTATGTAATCTAAAGTAAAATCTGAAACCATTTGTTATTTTTGAATTCATGCATGTCATGCTTTGGTTCTTGGTTTATGTACACATCACAATTATTCTCAATGATCCATATCATGACTGTATATCTATTATTACAGGCCTTGAGTGAGCAATTGAGACAATGGCAAGCAATCATGGTGGTAAGGATGTTATGGATTCCGGGAGCAGTGAGGGCAACACTTCTGAAGCCACCGTTGAAATAAAGATAAAGACTTTGGATTCTCAAACATACACTCTACGAGTAGACAAATGTGTAAACACTCTTTTCTTGCATTGTTTGTGTTTCTTCAAAGTTGCTATCTTTTTTGTGTTTTCTTCATTTGTATATGTTCTTATAGGTACCTGTTCCTGCACTAAAGGAACAGATTGCTTCTGTTACTGGTGTATTATCTGAACAGCAACGTTTAATCTGTCGTGGCAAAGTTCTGAAAGATGATCAGCTCCTTTCAGCTTATCGTATCCTTTTCCATATCTTACATTTTTTTATTTGCTTGAAAGGGTTTTCTTCTATTTTCATTATTGAATATTGATGGATGCTGAAGCTCCTTAATGAGTATGAATCATAGATGTGGAAGATGGTCACACATTACACCTGGTTGCTAGGCAGCCGATTAACCCATCTTTAGCAAGCTTTTCTGATCACACAGGTTTGCTGAGTTCTATACCTTTCTTATCTTTCTATTGAAGTACAGTTTGCATGAGAGGATACTCTGTTTTGTTTGCACAAATTTTACCTTAGATCATATCCCTATTCCCTCGTAAACTAGGTGAAGGTCTAATTCCTGAACCATGAATCTAGTATCAGGTACATGCCTTCTATGCTCATGCTGCTCTCTCTTTCTACTGTGCTATGAAACCCTAGTGTGTGACTATTGAAATTGACAAGAGTGCTTTACTGGGAACGAGTAGTGAGTACATTTGTATTTTGTAAATAATCTATATTGGTCAAATTTTGGTGATGCCTAGTGGTAGTCTATCAGAAAAGCTAAAGAATTTGTGCTCTTTTTGTTCTTGTTATTGTTAGAAGATTGGATTATGAATAGATTCAACAAATGAGTCACTATCAACTAAGTGGACCACTTCTGCAAAATCTGTAGGAGTCACCTACAATGTCTACTCTACACAACAGGATTGCAATCCAAGTATCCAACTGTGTGTTTTTCATTCAAACCCAAAATAATCACAGGATTTGTAAAACTTTATAAAGTGTTAAATAAATCACCTAACTCTGTTACACTTTCTAGTAGTCTTAAGGGTAGGAAATAAGTAGTTACAGTAGCTGTAATAAAGGAGTTAATGAGGGGTAATTTGGTCATTCTCATAGTCAGGTTGGTTTAAGTAAGTGTTTAAAGGAGGCTGTTAGTGATTTGGTATCTTTGAATGTAATCATTGAGTATTCACTTTGGGAGAGCCCTTGACCTCTCGAATGTCAAGAAAATCTTGTAATCGTGCGTTTTGATTCAATCATACAACAATTGGTCTATCAATTCTTGCAACTCTACCCTTAGTTTATACCACATTTTACTTTGCTACTAAAATGCAAACCCATGATATCCTAACATTTTCTTTTTGAAACCCTGATGCTTCACCGACATTTCCGTATATCTTTCATACAAATATTTCTGAAAATATGTTATATTGGTTATTTTGTGCACTTAAGCCAACAATTATCACCGTAAATAATCTGGTTTTAACATCCAAATAACCCAGCATTAAAATTAAATCCTTAAAATTAAGTTTCTACACATTTGATATACGAATACTACTTATTTAACACATAATTGAGATGAATTTTAAACTAGGGAGTTGAGACTTGGGAATGTGTTGGTGAAGAGAAAATCTCTTCTTACTTATCACCACTTTAGTAGCGGAGCATTAAAGATATACGTAACAAATTAATGTTGAATATTTTATTACCTATTTTTCCAACAGTAGCCGTGTGGAAACTCTGTATATGATAGAAAGCTGTGAGCTTGATAGTTTCTTGATGATCATTCTTTTTGTGAGTTTACATCTTGTTGTGTGCTTCTACATGCATCATCTGGTTAAATGAAGATCATCCCCTACTGATTGCTCTAAATATTTTTCATATTCAAACAAATTCCATTTGGATAGGAAGAAAAAAGTAGTAGTACTTTCTAATTGTTCAGCAACTTTTTATGCCAAAAGATGTCATGCCACTATCAACTAGGTGTATGACATAAAAAAGCTAATTGCTCCTAAGATTTTTTTTCTTCTAGATATGATGTTGATCCCAGTGTACTCTCTGTATTTACAGCTAGTGATCCAGCATCAAATAGCAGGCAGTCAATGGGCAACCAACATCAACATCAACATGGTCATGGGCATGGGCCTAGTGTAGTGGTGGGAACATTCAACATATCCGATCAAGGTGATGGTGGAATTCCAGATTTTAGTCGGGTAAGACACCAAAGAATGCAACAATTTATAAATCATTACAATAAACAGGCTTAGCTGATGTAATCCTTTCATGGTAGATTGTTTCTGCTGTTCTTGGTTCCTTTGGAATAGCCAATGCCGGAAGCGGTGGTGAAGCAGTAGATCTGCAAGTAAGTGGCCACCCACATTTATAATTTTAACCCTATAGTAAGATTATAATTAGTTTTTTTATTAACATTAATGAATAATATTATTCTGTGCAACTCCAACTCCAACAGCAACACATCTCTGAAAGGCTTTCACGGATACCTGGTCTTAACGAAATAAGAAGTTCCAACGGACAACAACAACAACCACAAGCACAACCACCTGAAGATGGTTCCGGAAGGGGTGGTGCTACCTTCACACTTCCAAGTGATGTTTCCATGGAATCTCTGCAGCTCCCTGTAAGTAGAAAGAATGCTTTTTGATTTTATGGTTTTGCAAGTTGATTGATTACATCGTACATGGGTGAGACAGGTTATTCCTGATTCATTGAGTACACTGTCCCAGTATCTAAGGCGTTTGAGGCAAGAATTTAGCGACAATGGTGGGTGTATTTTGTGATGAAGTGAATCCGTAAGAGACAATTGATTTGATTCTGAATTTGGTGTTGGCAGTTAGAATCCAGGGGAACAATAATAGAGGAGAGTCAAATGGTACAAGGACACCACCACATTTAGGTGCAGGTGTTGGTCAGGGAGGGTTACCAACACCAGCCGCCCTGGGAGAAGTGACACAGTCTGCAAGACAGTTGCTGATTGAAGAAGCTGGAGAATGCTTGATGGTATCTTATTCTTATCTACTCAACTAAACTTTCTAAATTTAACTCTATCTAGGTTATGTTGATGATTTGTGTTTTGCAGCAATTGACAAGACAATTAGGGGATCAGAACAATGTGAGTGATCCTGTGACACGGTTAAGGATGCAGTCAAATGCTTTGAGGTCAGGTGCTCTGTTGCAGAATATGGGTGCTTTTCTGTTGGAGCTTGGGCGAACGACAATGACACTGCGATTGGGACAGTCACCCGTGGGTGTTCACAACTTTTTACTATGTTTCCAAGTTTCTTATATTAATTGATTAACAACGTACATACAAAAAACTAAAAATAAAAAAATATTACCTTGTTGTTGTAGAGTGATGCAGTGGTGAATGCTGGACCTGCTGTTTTCATATCAACATCTGGACCAAATCCAATCATGGTGCAGCCTCTACCTTTTCAACCTGGGACGAGTTTTGGAACACCTCCACCTCCACCTGTAGTAGTGACAGGGTCAGCCTCTGGCACTAGTAGTTTTGGTTCTGCTTTACGTCCAAGGAATATTGATATCAGAATACGTACAGGTATGTATTACTTACACTATTCTCATATTCTGATTTTAATCCGTTTACTTCTTGTATGCCCTTTCTTTAGGTTCAGTGATGAGGGAAACAAATGGTGGTGGAGCTGATGCTGGAGTAACAAATCAGGAAAATGCCCTTAGGCAAAGCAGGGGATCGGAGGTGCGGGTAGTCCCCATTAGGATTTCAGTGCCACCTTCTGAATCTTCCCGAAGCTCTATGGGCGTGCTATTGCCAGTGCTAGCAAGAGCTCAAAATGTTGTTGATTCTGGAAATGGCAACAGTGGTTATGCTGCTGAAAACATAGATTCTACTACTACTACTACTACAGAGGTTCCAAGTGGACTTGATCAACTGTTGAGAAATTTGTTTCCTGGTGAACAGCACAACCATGGTAACAGCTTCATCTTTCAGGGTCAGGGTCAGGTTCAGGGTCAGGGTGAGGGTGGTGTCAGTGTTGTTGAATCTGTTCAGACAGCCCAGGAAGAAGCAGCATCAACAGTGGCCACTGATGAAGGAACTTTTTTGTCCAATTTGTTGCACCAGATTATGCCTATTGTCTCTCAGCATTTAAATGGTACTAGTACTACCAATGCTATGGAAGATACACCTGCACAACCTTCTTCAACTGTAAGTGCTTTGTTTTGCTTTGCTTTGCTTTGTTTTTTGGACTGAATGTGAGTGAGTAAATGACCATTTTACCCTTTAGGTTGAGGAGAACCAAGATAGAGGAGGTGCATCTTCACGGCAAGCGGATGATCCTCCATCCTCAAAAAGGCAAAAGGTAGGTACTCTCTCATCTTTTTTTTTTTTTTTTTACTTTATAAACTACTTATATATTATTATTCATGAATCATCATGACATGTGAGTGAGTATATATGATGTGTTGGAAATTGATGCAGACAGAGTAAGGTGAAGCATGAGAGAACATATAAAAATGGGGGAGAGATATCAAGTCAAGTGATCTGAAGCCGGTTTGGGTTTTAGATGGATGCAGCTCATACGCATGCAATGCAGGCATGCAGCTGCCATGGATGAGAATCCAAGTACAATGCATATAAATATATATGTGCTTCTTTTTATTTTCATCATCATTAATCTTTTTGTTTGTCTGCTCTTTCTAAGTGTTAAGTAAACAAATTGCATAGCAAAACGTTGTTGAGTTTGAATATCGCCTATTCCTTCTTATAGTATATGTTCAAACAAATTTTATTCTGCTAGGCTTCCTGGTAACAGCATTTTGAAAGCATTTCCAAACGTTTATCTTATTTATTTATTTATTTTAATAGGAATAGGTGGCATATTTCATATAATAATCAAAGAGATAATGGAATTGTGAATTAAGGAAGAATGAAGAAAATATTATTTGGTTGCCATAAAGAATGGAATAGAGCATTTCTTACGAAATGCAAATTCTGGGTTCATTTTCGTTCTGTGGGGAGATGTTTTTTTTTTTCATTACATCCGGGAATGGAATGATATATATTTATAATCATAAGTTATTTTAATTCATATAGTTTACGATAGTATTGATCTTTTACTTCAATTATTGTTTTTTTTTTTTTTTTTAAAATAAATTTTTTTTATTTGTAATTAAATTTCAAGATTTCATTACATCTAAGGTTTTATTTTATAAATTTTTTAGATTAGATCATATATAATTCTTTTTAAACTACTCGTAAAGCATATAACATGTATTTTGAGCCAAATAAAATATGTTTACATACAATTTATTTATCTATGTATCTTTCTTTAATTAAAGTTTATTATAATAAAATAATATAATTTTTTTTCATTTATTTATCAATTTTACACTACTTAGATTTATATTTGATAAAAACAAAATATCAATTTAGATTTATATTTGAGTCAAATATTCAAACCCGGTCATGGATATAAGATGGAATTGGGCGTTAGTTTAGGAGTAGATCATATATTTATATTTGCTAGTTCAAAAAAATAAAATTAAATAAATAACATACTTTAGTGGCTTATTTTATTTTTTCGAGTCAACCAAATATTACAATGAAATGTAATGATTCATTTCATTACCTTGCTTATTTCATTATGTTTGTTCATTTCATTATTTTATCGTTCAATTCCACCATATTAATCATATTCTTAAAGAATTTACCAAATATATTTTATCTTTTTAGTTAATGCTTTGCTCTAATGATCTAAGTCTCCTATAATAAATGAAGTTTTTTTGCCACATATCTTCTTCTCATTCATTTGGACACATGACATTTTCTAAAATTTTTAAAATTTCTATTTTCCACTTGTCATTTTATTAAATTTTTTATTTTATTAAATTAAAATTCCACATTTAATGTGTAAGGTAATATATATGTAAAGTATTTATTAGAAACAGTTTATATATGTAATGTATTTAATACATTAAAGTCTCATTAATTTTAATAATTCAAATTTTTTTCATTTTTCTTATAAATTCAAAATTTTAAATTGTTAAAATTTTATATTTGTTTTTTTTTAATTAAACTCATGTAATACATGGGTCTCACACCTAGTTTAGTATAATTTACTTTACTCAATCATCTTATCTTAGTATTGTAATACATTTATATATTTAGTCTGCATATGTTTACCTTCACTTTTAAATTTAAATGCAAGGAATGAGCTTCTTGGGGTTGTTTTCCCTCTCTTATTTTTTTGGTTAGAAATATAAATAACTATTAAATTTTATAAATATTAAGCATAAATATAGAAAATTTGATCAGGGGCACTCCTCCCTTTCCAAATTAATAGTTCAAGCTTCGTCACTGTTTACATGTATTATCTATTATGTATAATATTTAATTAAAAAACAAATTAGGTTCAACACTTGTTATTGTCATGATTAAATATAAATAAGATATGCTACCTTTCAGTTATTGTCAAGATTAAATATAAATAAGATATGCTACCTTTCAAAGTTATCATTTGTTATGAATCTCTTGTAAAATATTTTAAACTTTTAGAATAATATTTTTAATATTTAATATACTATGTTTAATAATCAAAAATTGGCAAGTGCATAAATGAAAGTTAAAAGCAATATTGTTAAGATCCGAGTCTTAATATTAGAATCACATGATCTCAAAACCCAAACATCCAATTTCAATTTTGATCTCAATGAGATCGATCTTGAAGTAAGATCTACCGTAGATCTTAGAACTCAAGATCCTAGGAATTTATTATGATTGGATCCCACCATGTAACTTTGATACAATAATGTGTCTTAAACCTTAAAACCTAAAAATCATATAAAAAAAGAAAATGTAGAGCACGAAGCCAAGAAAAGAATCTTAGTCATGAGAAAAATGACGGGCAAAATGTATTTCTCGGAAATTAACATAGAAATCATATTTGAGAATTCAAAATAGAACATCACACGAAGTGTTTTATCCGATTTTTCTGAGAATTCAAATTTTACATGATAATATGCCATTTCCGAAAATATTAGGATTTTTCTGATAATTTTCCAATATAAAAAGCAAAATGTATTACTTGGAACGTATCATGTATTATATTTAGAGAATGATTGAACCACATGTTAATAGTAAGAACTTTTTTCATATGTTTTCCTTTGCAACTATAGTATCTAAATGGATGGTGATTTGTTATTATTGTCTCAAATTCATCAAAAGAGCTATAATATATCAATTTCATAGGTTATTGCTCCTTTACATCATGATTTTATGACCAATGACCTCAAAAGTGTTTTATCCGATTTATATTTTACTTTCATTGTATGTAATTTAGAGATTTCAGAAAAAAAATACAATTTAACTTTAGAAGATTTATACGACACCGATGCATAATTTGTTACGCTGGATTAGATTATATATTCACATTTAATTTATGTTCAAGAAAAATATGATTTGAACTTTAGAAACAATTGTTTGTACACGAGTTAGGCATTTCCAAATTTAATTTTGATATCATGTTTTTTTTTATTCAAATACAAAGTTCTTTTTAAAGTTCAAATCAAACAAGTTTTGATTTGATTCTTGTTATTATTTTATTTTTTTCAAGCATCTTATTAGACTTTTAATATAAGCATCGCTTTTAAAAATAATCAAATAAGTTTAGGGTGTCACATTATTGTATTAAAGTTTGATTTTTTTTACTTTCTTTTACTACAAAAATAAACTATATTTTTATTTTCTATTTTCATTTGTAGTATCCATTGTTTGGCATATCACTAAGAAATCTATATATTAGTTTGTAACTAATGTTTTCTCTGTTATTTTTTAAAACAATTAAATAATAATTATATTGACATTTCCAACAAAAACTCAATTTATAACATAAAGACAGGCAAGTCGACAACCGTGTCATATGTTTGTATGGCCTTAACCAGCACATCAAGTTTTATATTATTATTCCTAAACGTAAGAATTTATACCCCGTACTTGTGGTTTATTTTTTTAAATATTGATTATGACATTTACCTTTTCTAGACAAAGTATTTTATTTTAGCCAACCCCTTTATTTTATACGAACTTTATGTTTTTCAACCATTAAACATAATATCACATTTTTTTTCCTTCTTAACAACGCCATCCATGTTAATCATTTTACAATCATGTTTCTTGACTTTAAGCAAACTTAATCATGTTTCGTGACTTTAACCAAACTTGTGTCATGCTTAATAGTATATTGAGACATTATATACAATAGATTGTTTGGAGTTATGCTTAATTTGTTGACTATAACCAAACTTGTCTCAGCCTCTTATTTTTATTTAATCCGATAAAAAGCATATTAGAGATTGTAAAATAAATCATATGTTTCTAATTATGATATCAAAGAGTCTGAATTTGATCAACTTTTTACCAAACCCAATAAAAATAACCCTAACATTGCTAATAAATAAAAATGTTCTAAGAAGATTCATGTGATCTGTTTTATTTTTATGTAAGTTATAACTTTAGTCGTTGCTATAAAAACACGTAACCAAACCATTTTGACGTTAAATAGTCAAAATTGCAGAAAGTCAAAAACTTTTGTAATCAATCGACCACTGGAGCCCACCTGTGTTCCGTGCTACAGTTGATCCCACACATTATCAGTCCTAGCTGTTGTTCACAATCAACGGCTAGAAACCATCTGATGATAAATCAACGGTGGATATTGCTACGTAGTATTATATGGGTCAAGGGACCGGTCTTAGGTCAGCCCCTCTTCTCGAACTCCTACCAACACTTGTCTTCTTCCCCCTTTTTTTCATCATTTCACACACACACTCGCCATTGCTACTGTGTGTGAACAGAAAAGCGCCTGCTATGGAATTTCTTCATGCTTTAAATGTTGGCTAGTGTACAATTATCGTCTCCGATGATTTGAGCTGGTTTGGAGCTACTACAGAATGGATAATCTGTGGCAGCCGACCAAATGTGGTTCGACGTGCCAGTCATCGGCGGACCCCGCTGTGGTGGCTCCGTCTCCGGTCTCTCAAGTTCAGTCACATGATTCTTCTAGGAATTCGGTAATCTAAGTCACCTTTACTATTTTTTTCCTTATGTGTTTTTAGAGTTGCTGACGATCATGGTCGCTTGTTTTTATGTGGTACTTTTAACGACTGAAAGTTGCATATGTCGTACAGCTCGTGTGCCACATTTAATTTTCTGATTGTCAATTCCATTGTTCAAAGCGAAGTTTGTCATAATTCTGCACGATTTCCTTTTCCTATATCTTCTCCATAATTTTCCCCAAAATCTCGTTTACTTATGCTAAAGCGAATTTGTGTAGTTTGTTCTTCCTTTGTTATGCACATAAATCAACAAATTTCAGAAATTTACTTAAACACCGCCTTTACAAGGACTAGTGACAAAGTGAACTGAGAGTCTGAGATCTTGTAAACTATCTACACCATGAAACGACATGATTCTACTTGTTTATACCATTTCCAATTTCTTAATTTAATGGGTTTCGTCAACTGATAAATGCTTTTTTGGACTCCCAACTTAAGTAGCAAGACTTATTGAACTTAAAAGTGTTTTGTTGTTTACAGTTTGATCAGAAGGGTCATTTGTAATGAATTTGAGATGGAGAGGAGAATATTTTCTAGGGCATACAGTTGTATCTGAACAGACTATTTTGATATATTGAGGCTATATTCTGTACAGTAGACACTAGACAATGCATGAACATTTACATGAATGTGGTGTAGCATAAGACTTGGTCATATTTTGAAGCAAGGGTGTTCACATAAAAAAGATACAGCTTGTACGAATGATGTAACATGATCTGTACTGTATGCTACTATACAACAAAAGCTACAATCTTTTCCTGTCAAACATAGTACTTTTTATATGTAAATTTATTGAAATATAACATAAACAATTTTAAAACTGTTACTATCTGTTATGAAGTCTAATGTAGATGGCCAGTAACCAGTTTCATGTTGACATACAAGCTTGAATAACTTCATATTTGATGTAGATGATGAATCCAAATCATTACTATTATCCACATGTTGTTCAAGAACCATGTTCATCAACCCGTAAAATGATGGCTGATCCCTTGTTCCAAGCTACCAATATCAATTTATACAACTCAAGCATCTCAGTGATGGGCTCTTCATTTTTTACCCTCCTTTCTGGACCACCTGCATCTTTCTCCAAATATGATTCTCAACATGTATTGAGCTCAAAGCCATCCAATACATCAAGTAAAGTTCAAGTCCACAATAACAGCTCTATTGTGGGTCCCACAGAATGTGAACCTTCATTTGATAACCGCTACCTGAAGTCCAAAGTTGATGCCTCTCCAGTTGTTCCAGTCAGAACTTTGGCAAGTGATGGTGGAAACACTGCTTGTTTGCATGATATTGTGCAGGTTAGAAAAGCAAGTGATCCAAGCTTAGAACCTGCAAAGGCAGCCAATTATCACACATCTCATGGCATTGAACAATTGAATGGCTTTTCTTCTCTGAAAGCTCCACCAACTTGTGGTTTACCACGTGTGTTTTGTCTGTATGCAAGTGAGTGTTCTGTGTTCATGCCATTATTGCTGCTTGAATAGTGGACAGTTGTTGTAGGATGTGGTGATAAAGCTCTAACCTTGGGTTTTTACGTATTGAAAGGTGGTGATCTGTTTCTCAGTAGTAGTGGACTCCTAGGAGTTGTTTGCTCATGCCATGGCATTCGTATGTCAATCTCCAAGTTTTCAGAGGTAATGTATGAGGATTTTTTTTGTGGATTCCTCTTTGAATCATATAAAGATGAAAACTTTATGATTGCATCTGACTGCAGCATTCAGGTTTGCAAGATGTTAATCCTGGAGATGCTGTCCATACAGACAGTGGTGAGACCATAGCTCAGTGGCGAAAGGTCTACTTCAGTAAATTTGGGGTAAGCTGTCCTCAGAATTCTATCTGTGCTATGTGATCTGGCTGGCTGTTTCCTTTGAAATTTTATACGATCCTTCATTTTTTCATATTTGTAGCATTGAATACTTGATTTGCATGCGTGTATTGGTGTAAATTTTTACTTCTATTGCTATCATTAAACATTGTATTTGTTATTGGCATGTTATTGAAGCACCAAGAACTCTGGTTGGTGATGTTTTTATGGTGCTTTAGATTAGGATACCTGAAGACCCCCATGGATGGCACTGGCCTCAAGGATTCTCTGCAACTCCTGATTTGGTAAAGAAGAGTGAGAGGGCACCCAACATGTCAAGAACTTGTGATCTCTCCAAATCACCTAGACCATTTAACAACATGGTATTCCCAGATAAACATCATTCAAGCCAGAATTTGGTTAATGAGATACTATGTCATGAAGCTCAGAGGGACACCCATGATAATCATGATGGCTTCACCAAAACATCTCAGAGCAATGTACAGAGTGGGGCAGCTAACAAGATTATGGAGCAGCTTGTGTCTGGTTGTTTGTCAATGTCAAAGTTTGCAGGTGGACTAGATAATGCATTTCAGTCTAGTCCAACATACATTGATCCAATCTATAAGACCAAAAATTCATTCACCTCCCAAAATAAAAGAAGCCTTGGTAAAGATTCTGATAAATTCAACAGTTTAGGAGATGTGGATAAACCTGTAAAAGCTACAGTTTCTTCAAATATTGAGTTGAGACTAGGACAGCCATCTCAACAATCAAATGCACCTGGTTTTCATGCTTCCCGTGTTAGCAGAGTTAGCCATCCCTTGGAGCTAGTTTCCTCTCAGCCGAAGCTTTATAATGGTGTGTTTTGTTTAAACTTATTTCCTATTTTGCCCTGCTGTTCTATTTTATGTAGTACTATGAACAATACTTTTTTTTTATATATATTGTGTGGCAGGGAGTAACAGAATTACTGAAGAAAGCAAGCAAGTTGTTGATTGTGCTGCTCAAGCAGCTAAATCCAGTTTAACTGAAGGACAAAATCGGATGAAGTTTTCGAATCTCGGGTTTGGAGCCTTTAGCACAAGAATGAGTCTTCAACCTGAGCAAGAGGCTACTAGAGTAATGAATCCACATACACCTTTATCGAGGCAAAAAAGTTTGAAATATATGAACCATGGTGATGTTTCATCTTCCTATGGATTTGGGAAGGACCAAATTGTACCAGGTATGAGTTCAATGACTCTTCCCTCAAAATTAACTGGAAGAGATGGATACAAACAAGCAAGTAAATATAATGTTCCTGAACATGCAATGAAATCTGTTCATTATGGAACTACTTCATGGACTGCTGACAAATCAGCTGTGATTTCATCATTTCAAATAAGAGACAGAGACACTGGAGTGCATAATAGCAACCACCTTTGCAATCCTGATCAAACTGGGCCTTCACTCCCAAGGTACTTACTTGACTACAGACTTATCAAGAAAACAATTCAATATCTATCATTTCCTTTGTGTTTCTTCTTTGGTTGAATTTGTAGCTCTTTATTTCTTTTACCTTTCTGCAATCATCATTTTTATGAAATGAAATGATTTCAGGATTGGTATAAGTGAAAATATCCGTTCATCATCTGGGCATGGAAACTGCTGTCAGGGTACACCATGTGCATATGTTCCAGACAAGTGCAGCTGTTGCATACAAAGAAACACCATGATCGAAAATTCCAATCTTCAACTTCAAGGAAGAAATTCTGTCAGTGCTTTTGGAGAACCATCACAAATCGGAACTTCTAACTTAAACCCTTCAGGTAAAATTGGGGAAACGATGAAGCCAAACTTAAAGAAAGTTGAATTTAATGCTTTTCAATGGAAAGATGTTCCAAGCAAAATGTCAGGAAGGTGCCATGTGCCATGTAAAGACCAAAAAGCCAAGTTTTTAGAGGACACGATTGAGGTCAATGACCAAACTTCTGGTGTAGCTGATCAACCTGTTCAGAAGGGTGATTGCATGAAGGAGCAGGTTATGTCTAATATATCATCCAAATGTTCTACCCCTGCGCTTACACAAGCATCCGTGAAAATCAGCAATGGAGATTCATGTACTGATGATGCACACAACACTGGTTGTGCAAAGAACTTTGCTGTAGATGAAGGTTCAGGGATTCAGAAGAGCTCTGATGATGATGATGATGATGATGATGATGCACTTGACAGTGGTGGCAACACTGGTTTTGATGATTCTGCTTGTAAAATCAGTTTGAAAAATGGAACTCGTAGTCTCATTGATGAGCTTAGGGTCATAGACTCTTTAAGAGTGAAGAAAGTACATAATGGCCTCTCTATGCATGAAAACACCAGTTCAATGAAAACATTTGAGAAAGATTTTGAAGCTGGAAAGAGAAAAAGAGAAACGAAATTCAAAATTCTTGGCACATCATTTCCTGCTTCACCTGTTTCTTCACTTTCTACTGGAAGTTCTGGGCAGTCCTCCCAATCTCTGGAAGATGTACATAAAAGTACAGAGGAGCTTCTTTCATGTAAGAAGTCAAAAAGGATTTATGATGATTGCCTTGAAATTCGTGAAGGAAAGAAGACAAGGTTGGATTTTGATTTTTCAAAAAGAAAGCCTTGTAAAAGAATTATCAGGCCAGTAGTATGTGGGAGGTATGGTCTTATCTCAAATGGTGATACATCTAAACCAGCTAAGATTTTTTCTCTTGGAAAGATTCTTAAAACTTCCAAAAGATGCAACCACACTCCTGGAAACAAAATTATAAAGAAATCACCAGAAAAGGTGTTGAAGAAATCTAGAATTAGAGAAGGCAATAGGCGATCAGGGAGAATTTCTAGTTTCAAGGAGGATAAATACAACATAGGTCAAGGAGCTGCAGTAGTCAGTGATGAAGATTCTATGGAAACCTCAAAAGACACTGATACATCATACATATTGAAGAAAGAAAAGGAGGGTAGAAATGAAAGAAGCCATGGTATTCCAGATAATGATTTGGGCACCAAAACAAGGAGGAAAGTTAAGGAGGTTCGCAAACGCAGCATATATGAGTTAATTACAAATGGTATATGTAATTTATTTTTATCTAAAGTCATATTATCTTTACCAAATATAAACTTATTATTATGCTCTCTAATCATCAGGAAAGGATGCTACAATCTCAAAGGACATAGCTTCTGTACCTCAAGATAACTTGAAGTGTGACAACAGTAATAATCTCCCTGGAGTAGACAATATGTACAGGTAATTATATCTTTATATTTCGATGTTGAGTGTTTGATGAATGAGTAATAGTATTAGTGTTTATGGAGTATGTAACAAGATTATTGCTTTTGGTTTAGATCCCATGAGGAGCCAACACACAAGTCAACTCCAGATGTGGATAAATTCTGCAACGTTTGTGGAGGCCTAAACAATGATGAAATCAATAGCTTGTTGGAGTGCAACCGATGCTTGATTAAAGTACTTATATCTTACCTTGATAAGTTAATAAAAAAATATTACTTTTCAAGATTTTGAGAGGTAATTATATGGTATTTTGCAGGTGCATCAGGCTTGTTATGGGGTTTCAAAAGTTCCCAAAAGTTATTGGTGTTGCAGACCATGCAGGGAGAATGTCAGTAACATGGTTTGTGTTCTATGTGGTTATGAAGGTGGAGTCATGACTCGAGCTATCCATACCACCAACATTGTGAGAACTCTTCTGAATGCATGGAATGTCAATTTCAATGTGATTCCAGAATCTCAGAAAAAACCAATTATGCCCTCCTCAATGCTACTGAATAGTGTAACAGCAGGGGTTTTTGACTCTTCTGTTAAGCAATGGGTACATATGGTTTGTGGACTTTGGACACCTGGCACACGATGCCCAAATGTTGACACCATGAGCACTTTTGATGTATCTGGTGCTTCCCATCCCCAAGGAAATGACAATGTGGTAATTAAAAAATATATATATTATTTTGATAAAACTATTTTCGTATACATCTGAATGAAATACGATGTGTATTTTACTTCCAGGTTTGTTCAATGTGTAAACGTGGTGGTGGCTGTTGCATAAGGTGCAGAGTTGTTGACTGTGTGGTTGACTTCCATCCCTGGTGTGCCCATCACAAGGTGAGATCTAAAATTTGAACCTCATTTATATATATAGTAAATTAGTCATGTTGTGCGAATATAATTGATTGTTTTATTTTTGGAAATAGGGTTTACTGCAAAGTGAGGTTGAAGGAGCGGATAATGAGAAGGTTGGTTTCTATGGGAGATGTGAAGTTCATGCAGCAAACAACTACAATACAAATTCTGAGAGCATAGAGGTTGTGAGAGGTGATGGAAATGAAACATGTGCTCGAACTGAGGTGGGTGAAAGTAGAATGGTATAATGAATAATGAATGATGATGTAAATTGAAATGGTTATGGTTTGTTGATCTGGATTAGGGTTATAAAGGACGAAAACGAGAAGGGTTTAGGCATGATAGTAAAGAGAAGGCTAGATGTGTGGTTGGGCAGGAACAGGTAGACGCATGGAATCATATGAATCAACAGCTTTCATTAAAAAAACGGATTCAAACAGCAACACAAGCAGTTCAAGAGGTTGTAGAGTCTGATCCCCGGGTATGTTGCTTTCATTAAATCATTAATAGCATTTAAAAATTTATACATATTACATAGTGTGTGTTTATTATTGTTATGGGCATGGCAGAAAGAATATGGTCGATATAAACAGTCAAAGGGTTGGAAGCATTTGGTTGTATACAAATCTGGCATCCATGCTCTTGGTCTTTACACATCAATGTTCATTTCACAGAGCGAAATGGTATGAATGATTTATAATCATTAAAGAGTTACTAATATTACAAAACACATTTGGATTTATTTTATATCTGAATGAATAGGTTGTTGAGTATGTTGGTGAGATAGTGGGGCTACGTGTGGCTGACAGAAGAGAAAGCGAGTATGAATCGGGAAAACAGCTGCAATATAAAAGTGCTTGCTACTTTTTCAGGATTGATAAAGAACATATAATCGATGCAACCCGTAAAGGGGGGATTGCCCGCTTTGTAAACCATTCATGCCAGGTATAAATATAAAAATATAATTGGGTGGATATCATATTATAAAGTAGAATGCTGTAATAGAAAGAAATGAAAGTAGGATGTTATAACTTATAATAAACAGATAAATATGATGGTGTGTGTGTGTGTGTGTGCAGCCAAACTGTGTGGCGAAAGTGATAACGGTGCGGGGTGAAAAGAAGGTAGTGTTCTTTGCAGAGAGGGATATATATCCAGGAGAAGAGATAACATATGATTATCATTTTAACAATGAAGATGAAGCTAAAAAGATTTTGTGCTCCTGCAATTCAAATAACTGCAAGCGTTATCTCAACTAAAAGGAATATTATATTATTTTTATTGTTGTGCCATTTGTACAAATTTCTCATTCTTGTGCTGGGCCCCAGTCAAATGTAGTCTGTGTATGTGTCTACATGTACAGTTTTTGGTGGCTGCTCTTTTGTTGTTACATTTGTAGTAGGATTGACAACCTTTGAGGATGTTCATGTTGTACTTGTAGGAAAGAGAAAACCAGAATCTCTTTTTCATTTATGTATATAACCAATGCCTGCAATGTACCTTGCTGTTTTTTGGTCTGAATTTCAAATCGTTTCATGTTATTGCAATTTTTATCCTATATTACTTCAGTTTCAGTCCAATACATAATACACCCTATCATGTGATTTGTTGCCCTATACAAACCAATGCACAGCTTATTTGTGTTGTCATGGTGAAAGAGTTTATTTGGATATTTCCCCATTAGTTGATAACCACGAAGGAAGTGTTTGTAAACTGGAATAGTCTCTTTACATGTTTTTCAATTGCAACTTCATTCCTAGTTTTCAAGGATTTGTTATGGATGTTCGATTATAACCTTACAAATTCCTGCCGTTCTGAAATCAGAATTTTTTAGTATCCAACCTCCAGGTATTCGTTTCCTAAGCAGACTTAGTTTGTTGTACTCTAGGGATACAATTATGTACATTCCATGATAGAAATAGGGGGTTAGATAGTCAAACATTTTTCATGATGGCACAAAAGTTGACTCCTCATATTGATATTTCTTCTATATGCTTGAATTTCAAGATATTCAATGTGGGATAATCCATAAGGACACTATGTTTTAACCACAAAACAAAAACATGTACTTGAAAACATTAGATTGTCCAAATTTACAAACTGAAGTATATGATTGTTCAAGGTTTTCACGCAACCTACCTTGTGTTAGATCATAGATTGCACCACCTACTTGTGTTAGATCTTTATTATCTCCATTGGCCACTATTGTTGATTCTAATTAACCTAAATGCCTGGTGACAAATATAACCAACATTCCACAGAATTAAACATACAGAAAACCATTCTTGAAACTGTTTTTTTCCCCATGTTCCTGAATTCGTATAAATTACCATAAAAAAGAATATATTTTACATCAAAATGTGTACAATGGGCAATAACCAGAACTCTAATAATTTCTTGAAAGTCTGGTTTGTCCAAGATAACTTTCCCTTTTTTTCCTATTACCTTCCCTCAACAGCTGCTTTAACACGAGGATACCTATCAGCCCACCTTGAGTATCCTATATAATGGAAAAAAATAAAATAAATAAATAACCTTCAGCTTTTTCTCAGGAAACCTGTTAACAGAAATACATACAACTATTTTTTTTACATAACATTAAAATAACAAATTGATAACATACCCGAGACAACTATTTGAACAAGATCCGCCTCGGCTTCGCTATCCTGAAGGAAAATACAAATACCAATCACCAATTAAGTTAATGTTTCATCAAATATTAATCCTCAATCTGATTGAGCTTTTTGATAACTTACTTTACCATATGATGTCATACTTTTCCTGATGAGGTGGCATAAACTTGTTAGATTATTAACCTTAAAACTTGGATGGCATTCAAGAACCGCTTCAGATGTTGAATCTAATATCAGAGAGCAGATGCTTGCAGCCATCATGGTACTAGACAAGTCGACAACATCCTCTGACAAAAACCAAAAACTAAAATTAACATCAAAAATTCCCAAAATAAATAAATGTTAATTATATTTATACCTGCCCATGATGACAACACCCCCAATAGCCTGATATAATAAGAATCATCCATGTGGACCCCAATCTCTTCTCTCTAATACCAAAAAGAAAAATTAGAATGTTACAGATAAGGATAATAAATAATCAAAATAACATACCTTCAAAAGAAGATTTAAGATGGTATCACATGCCAAGAAAATGGGACCATTCTCCTCAACTGTCCCACCATCTTCCTCAACCAACCTAATTAGACACTCTACCACCTTCAAATTAAAAAATCAACTCTTTATTTACTTTTATTTCCATTCGTTATACAAATTGAGCAGCATTTATTTAAAAAAAAATAGTAATAACTTACTGCTTTATATGCTCCAGAAGAGGCTAATAACCGACATCCATCAATCTCCATTGTTATCTGGCATAGCATCGGAAGCAAGAAGCAAACCGAAGAGAAGGAGCTATAAACAAAAAGTATGACATTTATTTAGTCTCCAATTAATTTCTAAACTTAGCAATAAATGAGAAATAAAACAGAGACAAACCTGTGTTCATCTTCACCTTCAACTAAAACCATATACCCTAAAAGCTCCTTCAATTTGTCATTGCATGCACCTGGAGTCTCTGCAAGGTAACTACAACAAAAATGTTTTATAAATTTTAAATCGAATAGATGTGAGTTCGGGTTAATTAAATATCACTAAATATAAAATACCTCCCAACTATTCTCACAGAAGCAAGAAGATCGTTCCCTTTATGTTGTCCATGATCCTGAAAAAGATTTCAATCATGAATACTGAATAAATCAAAGTAATCTGTTCTAGAATAGAAAACTTTATTAAATGTAGTAACTTTATTAATTAATAAAACAACTATACCTTGGCATCTCGAAGATACTCCAGTATCAAACCAACAGTCTCATTAAGTCCAGTTATGATCTTTGTGAACATCATGTCACTGATGATATTACCTATACATGAAAAATGGATACAAAGAATCAAAATCTATACTGTAAAATAACCTCATGAATGATATAAACAATCAGGGGTAGTTAAGTAAATGCATACCTTCATCTTCAGCAACACTTGATATCAATTTGATCGTCTTCTCCACTAACGAAAATGCAATGCCAAGATTTCTCTGCTTTAAAAGAACCGATTCAGCATCTAATGAGTCTTTAATCTTTTCATATTTCAAATATGCTAAATCATTCAGAAGAACAGCAATTTCCACTCTAGATGACTCTAAAACAAGCAATGTACACCTGGACAATGTTCAAAAGCCAAGATAAGAAAAAACACTTGCTGACCTGGCAACAAATATAAATTATAACATCATGACGGATTGCTTACCTGTCAGCTGGAATTGGATCTTGTGTGTCAGGTGAGTTTGTTTGCCCAATAAGCCACCTTTCACCAGCAATACACATCACAGATTCAGCCAAAATAAGAGCCTCAAGCCTTTGATCAGGTGCTGAATGAATATCAAATTCAATTCAATCAGATGCTGTTTCTTTATATTTGACTTGATATACTTAATGGGAAGAAGTGGAAGTAAGATTCTATAACAATTAACAAACAAATCAATGGAATTATGTTTCTATAACTTTTATAAAACACATTAAAACTTCAACTCACCAACACGATTTTGCAAAACTGCTACAACACCAACACGCAAATAAGTTGACCAAGTCAAGTTGCTCATTGCACGTAGAGTTTCATGCACAGGTGCCTGATAGTATCAAGAAACCAGTTACTTACTTTATAATCTAATACTAAGAATAAAAAAAACTAGTGAGTATCATGTTAAAAAAGCATACATACAGCATATATTGAGGAGAGGATCATTGATAGAAGATGAAGTGCCTCAAACTTTAGGGCATTATGCAATAAAGCAAACTGCTTTGCTAACACTATGACCTGGAACAAGAAACATTGCTTATGAGCTCCATTGATGATGTGGCATATATGAAGAGCTCCATATGATATGAGCTTACCACTGATGACAATTCTGAACAGTACTCCTTTGTAATTGTGTCAAGGGAAAGTTTACTTGTGGTCAACTGAAGGAGTTTCATTGCTAGCTCCATTGTATGAGAACCTACACAGGTTTTATGAATGTTAATGCCAAAAAAATCGAAACGTTAATAACATTATTTATTAAATCATATACCATCTGGTAAATTAGGCATCTGAGAAGCTAACACAGTCATGCCTCCAGACTCGTAGAAGATTCTAGAACCATCTGTGTGGGCTGCTGACACTAAGTATAAAAATTCAAAGCATTCTTCAACAAGTGATGCTCCTAATCTGTAATTTCAGACAATAAACATGTGAAATCATTTGCCTAATGATGCATGATTAAAGCTAAAAGAATCAATCTAGGCATATTATAAGAATCCTTACTCTTTAGAAAGAACTTCCAGTATGAGTGGAATCTTCTTCACCATATCATCTGAAGAAGCAATATTAGAAACCCTACAGAATGCAGCTAAAATTGTGACAGATAATTGTAGATAAGCATCTTGGTTATCTTGGCGACTCTTGCTTGTACTTCCTTTCCCCATCCCTACCAGGGAGACAAAAATATTAGAGGGTCAATATCGTCATTTGGCACCTTTTTCTTAACAAGAATATAGATATCGGTCAATTTTACATATCTTAGAGTTGAAACATATGTAATCTTATGTTTAGACGTTTCAATTTCAACTCTAAGATGTGTAAAATTGAACTTTGTGATAACATTGGGCTTTGAAGTTTATTGGAGATTCATCCAACCATATAATAGCAACGGCTAAAGAAGATGGAAAAATAAATTGAGTCGATTGAGTACCGGTTCGGAGAAGGCGGTCCAAGAATGTGTTGCCGAGGGCATTGTAAACCCTTAAAATGGAGTCGACATCATCGTTCTTGCAGAACTTGGTGGCGAGAAGGAGACCTGCGAGGCGTTGCTCGTCTCTCTCTCCCTTTAACAGCTTCAAGCAGTCATCAAGTGAGGGACCTTGATTTTCCTGCAAACCCAACAATCATTTAGCTTTTAATATGTAAATATTGCGAAAAGTTTAGGGTTATGAGAGACTTGATCTTACTAACCATGGTTGGAACCGAAGGTGGGAGATTTTTGTCGATGAAGAGTTGAAGACTGAAGAGCAAGCTTTCCTTGTTGCGGGAGAGCAGAGGCTTTCAGGGAGACGGAGGTCTTTCTTAGTTTCTTACACTCGATAGTCGATACGACGCCGTCACCTTCACGCCTTATTCATGACTTTTTTTTTTTTTTTTTCTCTTTAATAAAATCCCTACATATTGATCTCATAATCGATTTAGCTCTTATATATATTTTTTTAGACAAAATTGCAAAAATGATCTCTATGGTATGCAAATTTTGGGGGTTTTAGTCCAAACCCCGTGCTTTTTGAATCTTTGGTCCTTTTAAAGTGGTTTGTATGTGGAATTAGTCATCGGACTTAACTGCCGTTAAATATGATAAGTTAACCCCCCTCATGTGCCTCACACGTGAGGGTAAATTTGTCATTTCATATGTAAGGGACCATTTTTGCATAATCCATTTTTTTGGCTTATTTGACCTTTACCTCTCTCTCTCTCTCTCTCTCTCTTTGAAATTTCTTCCGGGAAATTAAAACACACGCACACAACTTCATCATCTTCTTCTTTTGTCACATTTCTTATCCTCACTATCCCTCTATTGTTAGTTAATAAACACGGATACACAAAGCCAAATATCAGAGAATCGAAGTAGAAAATAAAGCCCTCATATTTTCAAATCTTCCTCCCAATCTAGAAAAAAAAAAAGAAAAATTCTCATCAAAATCAAGTTTAGGTAAAAAAAAAAGCATACAAAAAGCCATGTATCTGGGATAGTTAACGACTTAAAGCTAGTCCCCATGCACAAGATCATACCTCTCAGACCGTTGTGAATTTACACCCAAATGCAGGTTTCCGACGATGGGGTAATTGTGGAATCTCTCTCTCTCTCTCTCTCTCTCTCTTTCTCTCTCTTTTCTCTCTCTCTCTCTCTCTATATGAACTGTTATTGTCTCTTGATTATGTCAGTATGTTCATATTCAATCTAAACAATGCTTTCAAGAAGAAATCAAGCACGCAGAAGAAATAATTCACTCGTGATCAGAAGAAATCAAGCACACAGAAGAAACCTATAAGGTTAGTAGTTCATCAGGTTTGATTTCAGGTTTTGATTTCAGGATTTGGTTTTGATTTGTTTTGATTTCAGGTCGGGTTACTAAGGTACTGAGGTGGATAGATTTTCAAAATTTTATTATATTCTATTATGTGTGTACAACCTATAATGTCGATCTATTTTTCTTCCATACATAGTCTTTCATTCTGATTTCTATCTTTGATTACAGCCTCAAGTTCATCCCAAAATCCATGTAACCGTCTTGCCCTCTTCCCATTCTGTTTTAGTTCCCAATTTTTCCTCCATTGTCGATGGGATGAAAGGGTGGGAGTGTTTCTTTAATGGCAATGGTTTCTTTGGGGAAATGGTTTTGATTTTGGCCGATAATCTGCTTCTATGAGTACATTTATAAGTTTAATGGAGGATGATGGATTAAATATGCCAAATTGGGGGTATTACGAACCTTCATCCCTACCACTTCAACCTCCCAAATTTGGACTATTAAAGATGTGAGGGCTGATTTTAGAATTGATTACAGATGATGCTGATGCGATGGTTGGATCATCCCAAGGACATGATTTTGAAGTCTTTGATTAATCCAAGTTGTAGTAAGATGATCGAACCAGGTGTTGTTTGGAATATTTGGCCGCTTTCTCTTCAAATCCACCCTCGATCTACAATCTGGTGACGAAGAACATCAGAGCTAAGTAGCAAATTGAGATCGTGAAGCTGTTTGGGATCACAATGTACTGTGGTTTGACCTGGCAGCTCCATCTTCGACAATTGTGTTTGTTTTTCTTAGTGGAATTACTTATTGTTTAATTGAGTTTGTGTTTGTTAAGAGTGTGTGTGTGTGTGAGAGAGAGAGAGAGAGAGGGTAAAGGTTAAATAAGCCAAAAAACGGATTATGCAAAAATGGTCCCTTACATATGAAATGACGAATTTACCCTGACATGTGAGGCACATGAGGGGGCTTAACAGATCCTACTTAACGGGAGTTAAGTCCAGGGACCAAAACCACTCCAAAAGTACCATGGATCCAAAAAAACTCGTGGTTTGGACTAAAACCCCAAAAATTTGCTTACCACAGGGACCATTTTTGCAATTTTGTCTTTTTTATTTATTCAATTAAGTCCCAAATATCTGTAATCGTATTCAATTTAACCCTTTGACCCGGTCAACAGGTCATCCAACTTTCAAAAATTACATTTTCGGCCCGGATTTCAAAATTTATTACAAATTTGGTCTAAATTTTACATTTTTGACCCGGATTTTAAATTTTTTTTACAAATTTGATCCAACATTTACACTTTTTACCCAATTTTTAGAATTTTATTATGAATTCATCCTAACTTTAGTCTTTTTTACAACTTTTTTTCTCAAAAGTTTGTTTCTAATATGTTTTTTCTTTAAAACTCATATTTATACAAAAAAAAAAAAAAAAAAAAAAAAAAAAAAACATATTTTCACATAAAAATCTTATTTTTTTCTATATAAAAACTTTTTTGTATATGAAATATCTAATTATAAAAATAGGTTTGGATTATTTGTGTGATTTCTCTTAAAAAATCAATTAAAAAATTAAAAGTAACCCCAAATTATACTATTATATTATAGTTTGTCAAAAACTAGTTACACTAGTTACCCTAAATTATACTATTAATATAGATATTTTAATATGTGTTCTATTTAGTGTGTATTCTTTTTTCTATGAGATTTTAATATAGTTGTTTATATGTATTTTTCAATCTGTTGCATCTTCGTAAATTAAATCATACCTTCGATCACATACATATGATAAAAGGTATGTAAAGTTGTTATAATCTCATATATGACAATCCATATTGATTTCAGTAGGAGTTGTAACTATCAACGTTTGTAATACTTTTTTACATTTGTTAAATGTCATTTTCTGCGAAAAACCTCCTTATCGACAAATGACAATTGCTCCATTATTGATAGTTATTTCTTGTTATTACAACAAACAAAATTGACACATGAATCCGATTTTACAAAGAAGTTTAAATAAAGAAATCTAAAATTATGATGAACTATATGTATGAATATGTATTCAGCGAGAAACAAAAAATATGAAGTTTTCAATATGTAGCATCTTCTATTATTTAAACTTTTCCTATAAATATGATTAAAGAACAAATAAATAATATTAAAATGAGTGTAACTAGTTTTTGATAAACTATAATTTAATAGTATAATTTAGGGTTACTTTTAATTTCTTAATTGATTTTTTAAGAGAAATCACACAAATAATCCAAACCTATTTTTATAATTAGATATCTCATATCAAAAAAGTTTTTTAAAAAAGTTTTTATATAGAAAAAATAAGATTTTTATGTGAAAATATGTTTTTTTTGTATAAATATGAGTTTTAAAGAAAAAACATATTAGAAACAAACTTTTGAGAAAAAAAAGTTGTAAAGAAAACTAAAATTAGGATGAATTCATAATAAAAATCCTAAAATTTTGGCAAAATGATAAATTTTGGACTAAATTTGTAAAAAAAAAAAGTTAAATATGGGCCAAAAGTGTAAATTTTGGACCAAATTTTTAATAAATTTTGAAATCTAGGCCGAAAATGTAATTTTTGAAAGTTAGATGACCTGTTGACCGGGTCAAAGGGTTAAATTGAATACGATTACCGGTAATGGTGACTTAATTGAATAAAAAATATATATATAAACGCTAAATCGATTATGAGGCCAATATGTAAGGATTTTATTGCAGTTTTCCCTTTTAAATTCAATAAATAAATGAAACGGAAGGAAAATATTGACTCGAAGAAAATGAGGGAATTTTTTTTTCTATAACCCGTGTTTCCGAGTTCGAAAGAAATGAAAGAAAAATTTAAGTTTTTGTGTACCCGAGTTAAGACGAAAAAAAAAAAAAAAAAAAAAAAAAAAAGATGTTCATTCCCCTCAGTTTCTTTCCAAATCCGTCCAATTTGGGTAAAAATTTTGGAAGTAGAATATGTCTTCAAAATCATCTTCTTCCTCTCATTTTTCTTCCATTAATGAAACTCGGAAACATGATTTTCCAACGACATCTCTCACTTTCCCTTCATATCCATCCATATCTCTCCTTAAGTAGAACTCATGAACAGACGTAAATTCAATTTCCATTGTCCAGCTGATAAGTTTCCCTCTTCGAGACTTCGACGTTGTTTTCTTTCTTAAGTCAAAACTCAAAAACCTTCATGTAATCACGTATTTGAGATCATTTAATTATTGAGAAAATTACAAAAATAACTAAAAAATATTAAATATTAATGAATTAGCAATATATATATATATATATATATATATATATATATATATATATATATATATATATATATATATATATATATTAAAAATACAATTGCATGTGATTAAGACCTACAATATGAACTATGTTAGCTACATTTTTACATGAATGGGCTATGAAACTTGGACTCGACTTATTTATCAAACAAGTATAAACGAGCATTACTTGTCGGAAAGAGAAAGCGACATATAAGGGAAAAATAGTTGTACATGTCATACAAAATGAGTGTGCTTTTAATGAATCTGCTAATGAAAATAATAGGTTGAATGTGTTTGTCAACCACATACATTAACCTTTGTTTAATTGGATTTAGGAGGAAGAACTAGAGCCTGGAGATGATATGATTTCTATTGAAGATGTAGATTCAAATTTTTTAGATGATGTGAAAGGTGAAAATGAAGATGATGAAGAAGTTACATCTCTTAAAATAAAATTTAATGATCACTTCCTGAATATTTTTTTTCCAATAGAGAATGAAGACCTTATTCAAGAAGATGGGGATATGCAAGAACATATCTACCCTAAACATGATCATTTTCATGAATGGAATAAAATGAAACATCTATTAGGTTTAATGCCTTTTGTCTACTACTTTTGTTTTTATTTACATCTATCTATCTACAAAATAATATTTCCTGCAATTTATCTTGGTTCTATACAGAATCACCCCATACCATATATCTTGGTTTTAAAATAAAAGAATCAATATGATTCATACAATAGCAATGTACTTTCATTACTTGGTCCCCTATTGTTTGGTACTCATATTTTAGTTGTTTACCATTTTTAAAACCAATGAAGTTCTTTTTATCTTAATTATGAGTTATTTTGATGCATATAATAGCAATGTAGTTTCTACCATTACATAAATATCCATTACATGAACATCCATACATAATAACAATATAGTTTCTACCATTACATAATCATCAATACATAAGCTTCATAATGAACACAAACTTTAATTCTTTCACCTATTTCCTAGAAACTGCCACGGTCTCTATAAGTTCTAAAAGCATATCTTCTACATTGGGCTTCATATACACAAGTTCATCAACCCACTCCCAAACTTTACACTTTTTTCCTAATTTCTTTAGTAATGAAACGAAATGTAAGAAGGTGAAATTGAATAAAAAATGATGAATTGTTACAAATAAAATCAAAATCGGTAATTGCCATTGAGTTAGGGCACACTTTAAATTTCTTTCCAAAGTTTATCTTTAGTCTTGGAGGTACGAATTCGTCTTGGGAGTAAACAATCACAAAGGATTTCATTATCTACCATGTAATTGCTTACCAATCGACATCCACCTCATTATTCTAGGGTAAAATCGATTCCTCCTGATTTCTTATGTAAAGATTCGGTTACAAGCATTGCCTAGGCCACGTAAGATGCCATTGAATTGTTATTTATGTCACATATGCTTCCACACCAACAAACCTATAGATTCCGGTTTAAATTACGTAATGTGTACAAAAACAAAAAGTATAAGGGCTTATTTGACCCGAAATTTTTTTTAATGACTACATATAATAAGAACTATCTTACCTTTTTAGGTCGTTTTCTTTATTTGAAAAAAAAAAAAAAGAATACGTGTAGAACAAACATGCATCCTCTTTAAAGCATTAAACAACGAAATCAACTATTTGTTTCTAGATTTTATTCCAAAAACATTAAAAAAAAAAAATTACATTTAGCACCTATAATAAGTTAGCTTAACATTTGAGTTCTTTTTACATTGATAAGTTACTTATTTTTCAAACTCTTTTGAGTACTAATGTTTGACAAGTTAAAAAATAGTTTTTAAACTTGTTTTTAAAAAAACTAATTATATTAACTTTTGATTGATTTTTTTTTCAAATATATCATTAATAATTATAAAAACATATGTTTCTAAATGTCCTTTATATCATTATATCTAGCTTATAAATTAATTTGTATCAAACGTTATTTTTTATCAAAATGTTTAAAAACTATAAACTAATTTTTCAGTTATCATCTACTTTTTCAATATCACTAACAACAAGTTTTGTGTACATCAAACATAACCAAGACTAACATTTCAACAAGGTTATTGAACTTTTTTTTTTAAATCTCTCAAACATATTCATTATCAATTAAATAAATTCATTATAAATTATTAAAAAATAATAATAATAATAATAATAAAAAAATTCTACATATTATTTTACTTATTTCAGCTGGTCTATAAAATGACATTTTTATTAACTAGTAACTAATTTATATAGCCTAATTTGCTTATATATATATATATATATATATATATATATATATATATATATATATATATATATATATATATATATATATATATTGAAAAGTGAATATACATAACAACCTTATATAAGCTTAGGTACCTAACTCCATAATACTACATCAGTTTGTATCATATTTACATTGTAATTATCTAAGGTTCTTAAACTTCAACCCCATAACTTTATTACTTCCAAAATCTATGGACTTTCACCATTATCTTTCTTTTACATCACGTCATTTTATTGAATACCGTCTGATAGGCTTCATATCCTACCGCTACAAATGAAATAATGTAGGAGAAATATAATGATGAATTTCCAATTTTTTTTTAAGTAAATCAAGTTTAGGGATAAAATTTAAGAATCTTGCATGATTGCAATGAAATTTTAATGCAAAATGACCTAGTTTGATGAGGTTAGGTACCTAAGCTTATATAAGGTTGTTAGGTATATTAACTTTACCCATATATATATATATATATATATATATATATATATATATATTTACTATCTTATAAAAGAAATCTAACTATTTCTAAAAATAGATTGATTATAATAATAATATTTTTTTAAGACGTCCAAATGATGAAGCTGATAGTACAAGTAATCATTAATAAAATAATATTAAATTTTAACCATATTTTAAATTCAAATATTTATCATCAAATCTCCTTATATTTCTCAACAATTTGATATGGTTTCCTCAAATCTCGGATTCATTCAAATTTTGAACCCTTTTAGATATCCTTAAATTTAGCATGTTGATTCAAATATCCCTCCAATCGCATATACCTCTTTGCTTCCTCCTCTATTATAAAGTCCACCGTCCAGGAACAAAAAATGATTTCATTTCCCAAATAACACTATAGTTTGATTATTTTGTCTTCAACGTGTACTTTCTTTTGTAACATAACATTTTTGTAGAGGAAACATATCACTAAAAGAATTTACACGCCCCACCGCTTTGCGCGGGTGCACTGCTAGTATATATATATATATATATATATATATATATAGCGGTAAATGTTGATGTTTTTTTTTCTTTTATAAACATAGAAATAGCTTTTGTTTTCTTTGTCCAACGATGTGGGACCAATTTTAATTGCGTTTATTTCACTTTAAAAGCATGAAGCATAACTAATATATTAATCTGAAGTGTAAATGCCTTTGATTATTTTATTTTTTTAAAAAACTTTGTTATTATTATATTTGTGGGTTATAATTTCTTAAAAATATGGCTAACAAGAATCAACATTGTTTTGTTCATTTAAGTGAATGAAATGCACGTCTTTACCTACATAACTTGTGTTTTTTTTTCTTTTTTTTTTTAAATGAAAACTATACACAAAATATCTAACAAAATTAAGTTTGGGGCCAATTGTCTTGAGGCCCATAACGGTTGGCCCAACTTGCCAGCCCGACCCTTTATGTAAAATAGCAAAATATACAAAGGTAAAAAGGTAAAGACCAAATTGCAAAAATGGTCCATATGGCATGCATTTTTTTTTGGAGATTTAGTCCAAACCACAATTTTTAGATTTGTGGTCCTTTTAGACTAGTTTGTATGTAAAAATGGTCCATCTGAAAATTGAAATGACTAAATTGTCCTCTTAATATATTTTTTATATTTAATTTAATGTTTTATTGATAATAAAGTGGGGCCCACACCCCATTCATTCTCTCTCTCTCTCTCTCTCTCTCTCTCTCTCTCTCTCTCTCTCTCTCTCTCTCTCTCTCTCGTTTATCTTGTTCCTCAAAATACACAAGTCGATAAGGGCCACTGAACCCCCTCCCATGTGTATTTCGCTAACAGATCAGTCAAGAGGTGGCCGGAAATAACTTATCGCCACCGACTGTCTTCACCATCCTTCTATCCATTCCGTCGACTGAATCACCCAAACACCCCCTTTTCCTTTCTTGGTTGTTTCTCGTCTATTATAGCTGCCCAAGCACCCTTTCTCGCCATCTTCTAAACCACCAACTACAACGATCGTCTCCGTCTTCCTCCCTTTGCAAATCATCGTTGGAGGACTGCTTCCTTCCACCCATTGACCACCACTACTGCTGTTAAGAATCTTCGGTCCACCATCAGTTGTTGTCGTTATTGGTAAGCTCTCGCCGTCTCGGTCTCTTTAACTTCACCAGCACGATTTCAGTTGCGTGCTTCATTTCGTCGATCAAAGCCAATTGATAACGAATCGCAAAATTGCCTCTTCCATTGACCTACAACTCACGATGGGCTGATAGAAGGCGAATTGTTCAAATAGGATAGGATTATTGATGATTCATTAAAGAATACAAAAGGAGACGATGAAGAAGGTGCTTACTCGACGAAAGGAAGAGACGGGGTAGAGGTCGCAGCTGGTGTCTCCGACGAGCCCTTTGTGGCTCGTTCTTCATCTTTGGCAACTTTCGGAGCGACGGAGAAAGTATGCATGTAGAAGAGGGTGTTGGGGTTATTACTTGACAAGAGAAAGAGGTGGAGGAGGCTTGTGGAGGGCTGCTGCACTTTTCCGACGGCCGGTTTCCACCTCTGGTGGTGGTTCAACGAGAGAGAGAGAGAGAGAGAGAGAGAGAGAGAGAGAGAGAGAGAGAGAGAGAGAGAGAGAGAGAGAGAGAGAGAGAGAGTTTTCTTAATTTTTTTAAGTATAAAAATAGATAAAAAAAAAATGAAAGAAAACTAAAAAAGAAATACCTCAAGGGTATTTTAGTATTTTCAGTTTTTCCAGGGACCAAAACTAAAAGCAAACCAACTCATAAGGACCACGAATCCAAAAAAATCGAGGTTTGAACTAAAACCCCAAAAAAATACATACCACAGGGACCATTTTTGCAATTTTATCAAAGGTAAATTGCTATGTTGGTGTTGAACAAAGAAAAATGATGTTGTGATCCATATGGTGTTTAAGGATTAAAAGTGTGGTAAATGTTAATTGATTTCCATAATTCCTCTATAATAAACATTTTCAAATATAAGTTATAAGCAAAAGTGGATTGTGAGCTTGAGTACAAATTTGGTTATTTCGTGGGTTTAGACACATAAGTTATTGTACATAGCTAGTCAAAGAATTCAATTACCCACACAAAACTTATCATCTCCATTTAATGGATAAAACCTATGTCATTGGAAATTCCCAAGCATATATCGCCATAATATAGCCTAAAAAATTAGGAGGTTTGCTTTAAAAATAGCCTTGAACAAAGTTGTTCACAACTGATATGATCCATGACAAGCAATATACGATCTTTTCCTCTTAGAACTTCAATAACAAGTCTATCCTATATATAGCAGTAAGAACATGTTTATTTGCATTACAATTTTTGGACTTAAAAACAATAGCTATAATGCCCAAAATTGGCTAAAGTAAAAAATAATAATGAAGCATAAACAGTGAAAAAAATACAAAATTTTGGGTCAAGAATGATGCATGTAGACCGTAGTTATAAAAAGAGAAAAGACATCAAACAATCCCATGCACTCGAACATGATAAGGTGGGCCCCGACAAACGATTGGTTCATCAAACGAAGTAGAACGTGCACGTGCCCTCAATATCTCATTAGGTTCATCTATTACTGCAGCAGCTAACAACGTGTATTCACCAGGTACCATAAAATAAAGAGAAAATGTATGTTTAATTTCTTTCAACGGAGGAATCTCCACCTTCACACCAATCAAAGTACCTAAAAAATTAATATACAATGTAAGATATATGTAGAGTCTTTTATATTAACTCTTCAAAAGTGTCTGTTTCACAGAGAATGAAAGACTCCAACATATACAGACAGATACCTACCTGCCCATAGTACGGTAGGATTATTATAGCCTTCAATACAATTCTCACCTGCAACATCTCGACACGTAATACTAAGACTCATCTTTATACAATCTTTTGTGTTATTCCTAACAATAACTGCCATCCGACTCATCTCATTTGCCACAACACAATCTTGTTTCTCCTTCCTTTCATCAACCCTAAAACCAAAAGTCAAAGGATCCGGTAACAAAACATCCATAACCGATGTCTGAAGAGCCGCTTGTGTAGCATCCTTAATATGCAACTCCCCCGCACTATTCCTCCCCGATTGCCACCTCACCTTAATCTTCGAAATCAAATCCTTTATCGAAGCATTCAATTCAGCTTTCGTCTTCACTCCCCCACCCCCATTGTTAATCAAAACAGATCCATCAAGAACAGGTAGCTTAAAATGCTCTAATGGAATAAGCACCCGAGAAGTGTAATCCCTATCTATTCTCGTTTTCGGATAACTAAATTCATTATTATTATCTTTATCGTTATTATTGCTGTTGTTATTATTATTATTAGTATTATTGGTATTTATTCCATCCACCACAGAGACAATAACTTCAAACACAACATCAGTTGGATTATACAGCTCAAATTCAAGAAACCTCAAACCCCAACTTCCTCTAAAAGGATCAATCTTCACAAGCGAATCAGTAGAACAGATATTTTCAGAAACGCCACCAACATGAGCGGGAATCTCCATTGACAACAACCGAGCTTTCATGAAGGAAAGCCCTTGCAAAACACAGATATTTAGCGGGGCAACAAGGCGGCGTCCAGGTGGCATGGGGTCTCCGGTGGGTCCCACGTAATGAATCAACAAAACCGGGCTGCTTCCATCCACCTGTCTCTTATTAGCTGTATCAGGGTCTAACCCTAGTTGCCATGCTTTTAATGTGACTGGTATAATCACTTCAGCTCCAGGTTTTAATGGTAATGCAGATTTCAGAATTTCATATCCGATTGACACAACAGAATCTTGATTTTTCCCTGATAATGAGATGTTCGCTTGCACAACTGGAACTGTTCCAGCATTAGCTAAACTCATCCAGAGCTCACGAATTTCACCTTCGTATAAAATCATGGCGCTATCACCACCAACCATGTGTGAAACTAACAATGGAAGTCTGGGAACTACTGTAATGTTGGGAACAGTTATATTCCTCTGCTTTGCAGACCCACAGCAACGAAAAGGGTCGGAAAAAACGAGGCCTTGAGATGCTCCGAGGAGTAAATTGTCTACATCTTTGAAGAAATGTTCTGTAAGAACACCAAAACAATGGACGATGCATCCGGGGATACTCACTATCCCTTCTTTAGTTGGGACTCCTGATAAACTAAGAACTTTGGAAGAACTTGAAGGTAGGGTTACACTCACAGGAAACGCATCGAAATTTGCAGAGTGAACTGAGAGATAGATGCTATTCACTATCAAATCAAACCCGCAAGGGTTTGCTAATTCCACCAACACCTGAACTGGTTCCCCGATTACCCAAATTAGGTCATGTTTACTGTTCGAAACTGCATCACGTTTGCTAAACGGTGTGTAGATAAAAGGTCCCGAAGGAGCTGACCCCGCCCACCAATCTTCTCGTTTTGGATTCCGTTTTATTATGTCCATCTGTGAGAAATGGAGTGGAAACGAATGCAACCTGGGAATTGGAATCGGAATCGGAATTGTATTTAGTCGTTGATTGAGAGTGGTGATTTGTGTAATTGGGCGTACCTTATGAAGGGCAAAGCGGGATCGGAGCAATGAGTGCCGGAAGGAAGGCGGTCGGCGGAATTGATTAGGGCGTTTGCGAGGCGGTTTTGGCCGGGCGGCGTGATTAAAGGGTAGTAAGATCGTATTAAACGGGCGGCGGCACTCCATGCAGCAAGAGGATCGCCGGCGCGAACGGCGGATAAAAGTATCTCCTTTAGTACAACCATCTGCAATGTGCTCCATTGAGACTCGAATAAAGATACCACCAAATGATGATTCATCTTTCCACCATCAACAAGATATTGACCGGTTTCCTTGCATAATGTAAACACAAAGTGTAAGATGAGAAAATTGGGAGGGATTCAATTTGATGCATGAATGAAGAATCTGGAATGTTTTATGTTTACTAACACACATTGGAAATGGAAGCTCTACTTTGAACACGATAAGCTTTTGTGGTGAGTGCCAATACTTGTAAAGCACTTGAAGCAGCTAAATTGCTTTCTTGTTGCATGTATAATTGAGCCACTTGTCTGGAGAAAAAGGCAGCTTTTCTATGGTACCCAAGAGTTCCAAATAAACGAGCTATTTCGATGTATAAAATCAGTCTATCACTTGTATCAATCAATGATTTGGCTCCATCTGTTGCAGTAGTCAACAGCTCCACCACCTCCTTCACTAGCTCTGGTCTACAGAGATATCTTGCCAGTTTCAAAGTAGCTTCAAGTTCAAAGCTCAGAGGAGAAACTCTGCAAAAATGTTACATGACATTAAAGCAGATACATATTTAAGAATGTTACAACCGTGAAGAATGAGAATTTACCTTTGAGCATTTTCTGATATAAATGACTTGCGATAATGAGTGATGACACCATTGTAGCGAAACTTGACCTCTTCCACTAAAGCTGCATCCTTCTCCCCTGTTTTACTCATCTTATAGCAAATAATGTATGAATCAACAAAAGGTTTTGTATGTTTGATTAATGATGATTGAATGTGGTTGCTTACCAGAAAGGCACAAACACCACCTTCCAATGCCCCAGCATACCAAAAATAATCTCCGATTGTTCTTGCAAGTTCTAGAGCATCAGAATAATGGGCATTGGCATCAACAGGTGATCCAGCTAGTAGACAGTAATCCCCTATGGTTTTATGGGCTCGGGCATCTCTCCTTTTTCTGGCTTTCATCGCCTGAAAAAATTGCTGATCAAGTTGGTTAAGTTGCAGGTCTAAAAGAGGTACTCAATTAGATTAATCAATGTAAGAAAGGTGGAGGAGGAAGGGGGAAATTATGACTATGACACCTAAAACATAAACCTCCTCTGCGCTGAGACTGGCTTGAGAATCTAAAGGAGTCTTGAGAAGGGTCCCGCTCGATTTTGCTGCAACCACCCACTTCTCAAATTCCATCAGAAGTGAAGCAGCCATGTCTTGCATCATTGTTTGCAGATGAAATTCCTGTGTTCGTTGATCAGCAGGAGGAAATAACACCAGCTTATTGCTTTTCTTACTTTCATCCTCTAACTGCAATAATAGATGATGATATGATAAAGGAAACCGGTTAGGTTGATATTCATGTTGCTCACATCCCTAGGTTTTGAAATTTGAATGCTACATTGTAATGATATATGATATTTCAATAAAATTGATCGACACAGTGCTCTAAAACTTTGAAAATAAGATTAAAACCTGAGAATCACAGGGAGAAAAAGCGAAACAGCGTTGAATAAGAGAAGAGGAGTATCCTTTACACGCCGCAAGGAATTGCGCGAGTACACTGCCCAGATCAGGAGAAGAGGGACAATGACAGATTCCAATAACACCATGAATTTTCCGATAGGGTTGGAAATCCTCCCACGGACTCGGCGGAGATCCACCGATGACGTATTTGAAGCGGAGGTTGCCGGAATACCAGGGCTGTTGCGAGAAGGGTGATTTTTCGTGTACGGTGTAGAAGGAACTGATCGCTGAGAGTTCGATATTGTGGTGGCGACCGAGCATTGCAACGTAGTCTCGGAATTGGTGTGACTGGATAGTTCCGATTGGTATGACAGCTATCCGGATCATGGAACTGGTTTCGATGCTGACGTCCGGCTCCATTGTTTCGCCGCCGACGAGGAGAACGACGATCAATGGAAAGGGTGACAAAGTTTGGTTAAAATCGAATTTACTACAGTTAGAAATTTGAGAAAAGTTTTTATGTGCAATTTCCCCTATTATTAATGCCTAAAATGTTCTTAAATTCTAGGGATAATGACTTAAAAGGGTAATAAACTTTCGATTTTTGTCACATTTAGTCACTAAAGTTTTTTTCGTTATCTATTTGCCATTGAACTATTGAAACTCTTTACATTTTACCCTTATGACTGGCTGTTGCCGGTCATAAGGGTAAAATGTGAAGAGTTTCAATAGTTCAATGGCAAATAGATAACGAAAAAAAGTTTAGTGATTAAATATGAACAAAATCGAAAGTTCGTTTCCATCTAAAAAGTTCAATGACTAAATGTGAACAAACTTCATCTTGTATTATGTTTTAGCAAATTATTTATTTTTGTTAAATTGTAACAACATTTGTTGATGAAGAAATCTATGAAATTAAAAAAAAAAAAAAAAAAAAAAAAAAAACCCTGAAAATATATTTAATAAAAAAAAACAAAAAACCAAAACTGAAATAAAAAACCAATGGTTTGACATTTTCCAAAATAAAAAATCAAAATTTCCAATCTGATTTTGGTTTTACAAAAAAATGAATCATTCTCACTGATGTGAATTATGACCATTGGTTTGGCATGCGAAATTTGTGACATCCCATGAATATGTAGTTACAACATCGTCTGAAATCGTAATTCATAGTAAGTGGTTAGAGTATTACCACATGAATACGTAGTTTCAACATCGCATGAACTCGTAATTCATCACCTACAGGTTATGGGTCTGCTGGTGTTTCCACTGGGTTGGCTAGAATAGTCCGTGGTCGCCATCTATACTCTGGTAGATGACTACATCGCCACATTGCTGGTAAAGGTTATGATATCTCCTTTCATCCTACATCACATATTCATCATCATCTATTTACCTAATTATCACCACCTTTCTATCATCACCTATCTCTCATCATTTTATTTCATCACACACCAACTATTTCATCTACCCATGTTTCATCCGCAACATATTTGTAGATATAAAATAAATATACCGTTTAAATCTTTTAAAACATGTATAAAATCGTTCATCCAGTATAGACAACAAATATTCAAATAATATACACACATAGCACGTAATTTATATAAAATACTTCATATCTATGTGTAAGATGAAAGTAACTATATATACCATAAATGCTTCCTAACTTTGAACCCCAAGGTTTACTCTACTAAAGCTTCATATTCTCGGCTCTCTGAACCTAGAAGGGTCCAGATCTATCACACCAAAAAAGCTCAAGATAGCTCTTCGTCTCACTCTACACACTCAAGCTCGCTAGGGTTCTCACTTATGGGAAAGGTAGTCGCAATTGAAGGCCATAAATGCCTTTAAATATGGCTCGAGCCCAAAGATTTAGGGTTTCTGCCAACAGTGTGAACTCGTCGAGTCACCTCACTGACTCGTCGCGTCCATTTATTAATCCGAGTCATCAGTCGCGACCTTACTCAACGAGTTGAGGCGTCAACTCGTCGAGTCTCTCTTCTTAACTCAAAAGAAAAATACTTAAATGATGATACCTGGAAATCCGGATGTTACATTTTGTTTTTTTATTTCATAGATTTTTTCATCAACAAATGTTGCTACAATTAAACAAAAATAAATAATTTTGCTAAAACATAATACAATAAGAAGTTTGTTCACATTTAGTCATTGAACTTTTTAGAGGGAAATGAACTTTCGATTTTGTTCACATTTAGTCACTAAACTTTTTTTCATTATCTATTTGCCACTAAACTATTGAAACTGTTCACATTTTACCCTTATGACCGTTAACAGCCGGTCATAAGGGTAAAATGTGAACAGTTTCAATAGTTTAATGGCAAATAGATAACGAAAAAAAGTTTAGTGACTAAATGTGACAAAAGTCGAAAGTTCGTTACCTTTTCAAGTCATTATCCCTAAATTCTAATCGATAGTTTTTTTTAATAATTTTAAAACAAATAAAATATAGAGATTTTGATTCATAATAGATTAATTAATGAAATGTATTTTTATTATATAAAATGAAAAACTTATTTTAATCAATGTCAATATAAATGTGGATTGGAGTTCTAACTAAGAATAATGTATTCTTGATTCTTTGACAATCTGTAATTACAAGTAAGTTACACAAATGGTTCCTAGAATGGTTCCTATGGTTTGGGTTAATTTGCGTACTTGGTACCTAATTTATTTTTTTAATTTGGAAAGTCTCTATTGTTTGTTTTTATTACATGTTTGGTCATTACTATTTGTTTTTATTACGCAATTTATCCATATCTTAGCTAAAAATACTATTATTTTAATAGAAAAAAGTATGAGATAGATAAGATAAGGTGAGGGGGTTAACGTTGGGGTGTGTTTATTTAAATATTTTAAAAAATCAAGGGCAAACTAGTTTTTTTAGGTAAGACATGGTCCAAGTGTGTAACAAAAACAAACAGTAAAGACCTTTCGAGTTAAAAGAATAAGTTAGGAACCAAACACACAAATTACATTAAACCATATGGACCATTCGTGTAATTTACTCTTACAAATATTGCATAGCTTTGAAGGAGAGTATCGTTTTATGACGCATTGATATATACCTTTTAAAGAGGTGCACAAAAATCAGATTCATTGGCTTTCAGTATTTTTTTTTAAATCAATTTTGAAACGATTGGATTTCGGGTAATCCAGGTTGCGTTTTGGGTGGGGACTACTAGATCAGTGTAAGTGGATTCAAATTGGTTTAAAACCAGGTAATCATTAAAACAAATTCATTTTTTCATATCGGTTAAAAAATGCATTTTCAACATCATAAAAATAATCGTAAAAACAAACACATATTTTCATCGATTCGGTAGTGAGTCTTGACTTCCATTTCGAAATAATCATGTCACTAAGAGAAAAAAATGAATTTTGAAGCTACAGTAGATGCTTTGACGTTTAGGAAATCATAGGTCATAGTGTCTAGAATCGAAAATTACAGTTCATTTTCTTTCGTCCAACCGAAAATATTTAGGTTTTTTTATTCTTCAACAAAGCAGGATAAAAAAAATGTTGATGTCATAAAATTTCCTAATTCCTTATTTGGGACATATCGTGTTTTACTATATTCTAATAAAATATTATAGAACTGGTAATTCATATCTTTGATCACATTTAGATGATTCCCCACTAGTCCCTTTCTTTTATGATCAATTATTAGATTGTTTTGTTGCACATATTTGTTTGAATATATGGTTATACATTAATTGTTAATTGGGAGCACAAGTAAAAAAAAAACCAAAGGTAACTTTATAAAACATTTTAAAATTTTTTTGTTTTATTTGATTAATAATACTTAAAAAAAAAAAACATGTCACAACTCAAAATCCTTTACTTGTTTCTGTTATTAAAAGCATTTGATTGAGATTTAAGGCGACTAGCATTGATTAAACACCCTGGAAATAAGTTGTTGCTTCTTTAAAATGATCAACATATTTCATAAAATCATAATTACATTTCAATCCTCATTGGGATTGCAATGGCTTTACTAGCAAAATCATGAAAATGTTTTAGCATGGTTTTTTGTCAAAAAAAAAGTTTCTTTTATGATCTGAAAAGAATACATTTTAAAATTTTTTTGTTTTATTTGATTAATAATACTTAAAAAAAACATGTCACAACTCAAAATCCTTTACTTGTTTCTGTTATTAAAAGCATTTGATTGAGATCTAAGGCGACTAGCATTGATTAAACACCTTGAAAATAAGTTGTTGCTTCTTTAAAATGATCGACATATTTCATAAAATCATAATTACATTTCAATCCTCATTGGGATTGCAATGGCTTTACTAGCAAAATCATGAAAATGTTTTAGCATGATTTTTTGTCCAAAAAAAGGTTCTTTTATGATCTGAAAAGAATACATTTTAAAATTTTTTTGTTTTATTTGATTAATAATACTTAAAAAAACATGTCACAACTCAAAATCCTTTACTTGCTTCTGTTATTAAAAGCATTTGATTGAGATCTAAGACAACTAGCATTGATTAACCACCCTGAAAATAAGTTGTTGCTTCTTTAAAATGGTCAACATATTTCATAAAATCATAATTACATTTCAATCCTCATTGGGATTGCAATGGCTTTACTAGCAAAATCATGAAAATGTTTTAGCATGATTTTTTGTCAAAAAAAAGTTTCTTTTATGATCTGAAAAGAATACATGTATAAAATAATCATTTGTCTTTCTTTTTTTGCCATAAAATAATCATTTGTCTATTAATTTCAGTAAAAAGGGTAACAATATGATTCATCAATTTGCTTTTCATTATAGGAAAAAACAACAAAAGCAATTACCTTGTATCGGTTACCCAAATTGCTTGCACTTCAACATATCATGAATGTTTTTAACGTCACTTTATTATTTTCGTTTTCTTTTTACTTATTTGATATTTAGACTAATTATCTGTAGCTTAAAAGAGCAAAAACAAATATCCAACTTTGTAAACAAATTGGATTCCCCTCTTAAATCATATGATAATACATACCAGCTTAAACCCAGAAGTTTTAACTTCAAATTTGCTTTATTTACAAAATGATTTTTAACTATTGAACTTCTAAACAAAACCACCAAATTCAGATGTTTAACTTTAAACTACTCATGCTAGTATATCTGGCTAATCAAACAAGAACTCATTTATGACAAAATTTGTTCAGTATCATAAACATTTCAAATTGGCTTCTCCTGATTTCAACCCCCTTTATCAGTAAAGAAAATGAAATCCAATCATATTGAACAAACAAAAAACAAAAAAAGGTCGGGTTTTGATATACTTGATGCATAAACAAGACCAAAAGGACAGTACAATAGTAATTAAGGTTCAAGAAAACTTCAGAACTCAATGGTAACAAGAGTCTGACAAAAATGTTCAAAATATGGCTAAAGAAAAAAGATAACACTCTGAATGAAAATAGTGC